TGAATGTTCCTCCTGATCTTAACTATCTTGGATGTGGTCTCCTCTACCAACTTCGGGCCGAACAATTTTCTATCGCCCACTTCTTTCCAACAAATCGGTGATATGCATGGACGCCCATATAACGCCTCATACGGAGCCATGCCAATGCTCGCTTTGTAGCTGTTGTTGTAGGAAAATTCTATCAGGGGCAGATGGTCGTCCCAATGGCCCCCAGAGTTAAGGACACAAACTCAAAGCATATCCTCAAGTGTACGGATTGTCCTTTCTGATTGTCCATCAGTCTGAGGGTGGAAGGCAGTACAGAGGGATAGCTTCGTTCCCATGGCTTGCTGAAAGCTACTCCAAAATCGAGAAGTGAACCTAGGGTCCCTGTCGGACACCACTATCACTGGGACTCCCATGCAATTTAACTATTTTTCAGATATACATTTTTGCCAACTTGTCCAATGGATTGATCATCTTGATGGCTAAGAAGTGGAAAGACTTGATGAGTCGGTTAACAATTACCCAGATGGCGTCATGTCCTGAGCGTACCTTAGATAACCTTGTCACGAAGTCCATGGTGATGTGTTCTCACTTCCACTTCGGAATCGGTAAAGGCTGAAGTAGCTCGCTTGGGCACTGATGCTCTGCCTTGACCTGCTGACATACCAAGCATTTAGACACAAAGTCAGTTATGTCCCCTTTTATCCCATTCCACCAAAACTGAGGTCGCATGCTTTGGTACATTTTGGTGTTTTCGGGATACATGACAAACTTTGAGGTATGAGCCTCTGTCATGATGTCTCTTTTCAACTCACTGTTATTTGGAACACACACCCTGTCCTGAAATCAGAGTAACCCATCGGCAGAGACTCGAAAATCTGAACTAACTCCCTGTTCTGCATTGTTCTTGAGGGCTACTAGGGCGGGATCAGCTGACTGAGTTTCCCTTATTCTCTGGATTAAATATTGTATTACTGAGCACATTTTACATATATATATACATAATAACATGTATTTACCATATGTGACGATCCCAAAAATTAAAAAGGAAATGTATATAAAAAAATCTGAGTGCGGAAACGAAATAAAATGTTCTGATTAATATCTCTTACACAATACTTAAACGTACTAAATAATATCAAAGAATAACTCCTCTAAAGGAAATACTAGAAATGAAAGACTATAAAGAAAACTATAAGACATCTAAGCATCTACTCGCTGTCTTCTTGTGGATTGGGGTCGGGAATCAAGTTCTCATGATCTGAAATGGTTAAGTAAGGAATGAGCTACACTAACCCAATAAGAACGTCACACTATATCACTGTCACAGAAGTAAAGGTTGGTAGAAAACCAAAAACAACCAATGGAGTACAAATTTTAAACAAATTTATTTATCAATAATCAAACCATCTACCATCCACTTACCTTAGTGAGATTTATAAAAATGGCCGATGGAAACAATAACATTATAGATATCATAAATTCATACATAATCTATAACATAGCACATGTCATACTTTTATATTTCAATAATCAAACAACTATTGCCCCCTTTTCATCAGCCTACTAGCATACATGGGGATCCATAAGGGTCCCTGCTACATGTGAACTATTCCCTTAACAAACTTAATTTACAGGGCTGTCCCCATACCCCGTCCGGTATTGGCGTCAAACAATAAACCTCAATACCCCGTTCGGTATGAGGATAAAGTGGGCAGTCTCCATACCCTGTCCGGTATGAGCACCAAAACATTTAAAGTCTCCATACCCCGTTCAGTATAAGACAACATTCCTGGTAGGGTTCCCTATGGACTTGGTCCGTCCACCATATCCCAGGATATCTAATGAGGTTGTCATCTTATCCGTTTATCAATTCACACCTTTTTCCTTTTTTTTTTCCTTAGTCTCCGTTACCCATTCAAACATGAATACTTAAACAAGCAACGTGCATCCAACAAGACAAACATATCTTAGATTCACAAAATCAAATAGTAGTGAAGTAAACAGTGATTCATGCATTCAAAACCATAGAATAAATAAACTAGATAACATAATATTTTTAAACTGTAAAATAAATCAAACAGGAATTGACAGAGAAATATGTCTGGTTCGGGCTCCATTAGTAACCGTAAATAATTATGCATATCTATTCAATTTGTACAAAATACAGTATTATCATTTATTCAGACTTCAATTCCATGATAAAAAATAAGATGAGGGGTCCTTACCTGATTCGACGTTCAAAACTAAATTTTCACTGCACCTACGGAGAATCCCTGGATTTTTTGAATTTTTTTCTGGGAAGTGAAACACGCTTACAGTACCTACACATGTCCAAAATAACTCAAAAATCAGACCCAGAGCCTACTCGGCCAATTTTAAAATTCTGGCACGGCGGCGATCCGCCTCGGGTTGGCTGTTTCTGGCCGTTTTCGGCTGAATTCAGCCAAACTTGCATTGGTTCCTGTGAGAAAACACCCCTAGGGCCCTCGGTGGGCCGAAAAAACACAGAAAACCAAAATTTATCGGCGGTGGGGCTCTCCGGTGCAACGGCTCCTCCGGCTCGCGTCGCAGTTTGGTGTTTTGCGCCGGTCAACCTGTAAAGGAGGGAACGGAGGTCACAATGGTGGAAAAATTACATCGAACAGGAATCGGAAAGGACCTCATCGGAGGCAAAAATCGAGACAACCCACGGCAGCGCCGCTGGGCTTCAGCGGCGTTTTTCGGCCAATTGGCCGGTGTTTTTGCTCTGATTTGGCCATAGGTGGGTTTAGAATCAAATTCTGAGCAAAGGGGAGAATTTTTACCTCGTTTGGCTGCCAGAAATTGCTCCAATACGGCGGCGGTCAGCTCCCTGGCGGCTGGACTGTCTTCTCCGGCGAGGGGCTCTAGCGGCTAGGGTTAGGATTTGGGTGCGGATGAGATTATTTATAACCATTCGCTTTTAATCGGAGCTGTCCATCGCGATTCAATCTGTATTGTCCGATCACGATTAAATAGAAAATAAATATGGGCCGTTCATCGTGATGCAATCTGGACTGTCTGTGTGTGATTCAATCTGGGCCATCCGTGCGCGCAGGAATGGATCTCAGCCGTTCGATCACGCGCACGTGGCCTCCCGCGTCAGCGTCTCTGCCACGCGGCGCGTCTTGGTTGGCCAGGGCTGCTGACCGGGTAGCTGACGTGGCGTAATTTTTTTAAATTACGTTTTGATCCCCGGTTTTTAATTTTTCTTTCAAAAATACTCACATAATCCAAATTTCACCCATTTTTTCTAATATTGTTTTTAATTAAATGCTTAAATAATTTTTACAACTTATTATTATTATTATTATTCTATTAAAATAAATTAAATTCAATATATTATTACATAAATAATAATTATATTCTAACAATAATTAAAAATAAAATAAAATAAAAAGAAAGGGTTGGGGTGTTACACCATAAATAAAGCAAGGCTAGTTAAAAATTCAACTAAAAGTGTGTTTTTAATATTTTAGTTTTAATTTTTATTGCTTAAATTCATTTTTAATGATAATTCATATATATTTATGTAAATAGACAAGACATGACGTCATGATCAGCCTGTAATTTATAACATGTTGTGGTCGAGTAGATTCACTTTGAGTACTGGGTGAGATCATTTCACGTTCTCATGGTCTGCCCCTTTATATATATTATTTGGTAATTAGCAATCTGTATACGTGTCTTTGTATGTGTGTGTGTGTGTGTATGTGTATATATATATGTATAATCGCCATTTTAGTAGAGATATATATCACAGGGCTCTATTATCCACATATGAGCGTGCAACAATCTTGCCAACTACAAGATATGACCCTTCTAAAGTATCTCTGATACGTCTACGCATTACCCGTGATGAACCCTTTTCCAATTTTCTTATTATCTACTTCACTTTTCTGTCCAACTTGTTCTTAGAAAACCTTGAATATGTCATTTTTCATTCATACACGAAATTATTCCACATATATATATATATATATATCTTGCGTGTTTTATATATATATATATATATGTATCATAGCAAATATATATGTATATGATAGTTTTTCTTCTCTGTCGTTCGTGATTTGCATGATACCATGTAATACATGCTGAGTTTATTTTACAAACAAAATGAAAGAGACGTACACAGTGACATGTATATATATGCATACACGTATATGTAGTATTGAGTTTGATGTTTAGAATGAATAATTGTAAGTTTTTTAATGAATGAAACTGCGGTGTCTATGACAGTTGTGATCATGTGCATGCATGATGCTGACATAGTTATCTCTTAACAGACAATCAGTTTAAGACTCCATAACCTTAAAAAAACAAGACCAAATTACTATTCTTTTTAAGTAACCGTGCGTAAATATGAATTTACTCTTTTGCCCTTCCTATAAATTTCAGAATCATCAGATCCTCATCTCCTCTTTCCTTGTGCCATATCATCATTATACCTATACATAACAGTATATAACTCTTGAAATATTCCAAGTGAGGACCAGTGGAGTTAATGAAGTGCAAATTTTCATGGCTACCAGAAGGGATGATCATAAACATGTGAAAACCAACCAAGAAATGTTCATGGTGATGAGATATATGGTGATGGGTCAAGTGGGGATGATGGTTTTAGGTACTTGATTGTGAGGCCAGAAAAGGGTGGGATATGGGACTTGATCAAGTACCTCGTTTGGGCGGACATGGCGAGTGGTGTAAGGTTCCTGGATAGCTCAGACCATGAAGTGGCTGGTGGAGAGGTGGCTGATCACAGACGGATCATTCTGGTTTCAATCATATTCCGCAAGATCATTGCTCTCTTCAACAAGCCTATGGAGTATGCTGGCTATGTCGTCGACTTCTTCCTTAATCTCTTCTCAGAAAATGGCAACCTCACTGGCCTCCTCTACAATCTTCTTCATGGTACTCTTCCTATATATATATATATGTGTGTACACACGCACACACACAAACATATACATGTGTATACACTGCCACCTTTTAAGTGGGAAGTATATATCTGATTGTTTGGTTGGATGATTATGGTTGATGATTACGAGGACAACAGGTAAGGTTGTTATACCTGAGAGAGATACAGAGACTTTTATTAGCACAATTGGGCATATAGATGGGCGGATAGACTTGTACAGAGCCAAAAAGTTAACAGACAATTCTGCTTCAAAAGTAGAAATGGGGAACCGGGAACTCATGGACTTATGTATCATGTCATCTAAATTAGCTTATGAGAATGCTAAAGTTGTCGAAAACGTTGTTCGTCTTCACTGGAAAGTAAGTATATACCCTCTTCAAGCTTTTCTTTTTTCTTTTTCTTTCGGTGTTGAAGGACTTGTAATTTGAGATTTTTTCAAGAGCAGATGCATTTTGTGGACTTCTACAACTGTTGGAATGGTAACCCATCTGGCAACATTAATTTGTTTTCTATTGAAGTGTTTAGTATTGTTATTTCTCATTTTGATTTAGTATGTTGGATGATTATTTTGGCAGATTTTCAAAAGGAGTTATCAACCCAAGTATTCATTCTCTGCGACAAACCCCAAGATGCAAACTTGATACTGATCAGCTTTAGAGGCACAGAGCCCTTTGATGCTGATGATTGGAGCACTGACTTTGATTACTCTTGGTACGAAATCCCAAAACTAGGAAAAGTCCACATGGGATTCTTAGAAGCCTTAGGTTTAGGCAACAGAGCTAATACCACCACCTTTAAACATCACCTCCTTCAATTCAATGGTGTTGATGTGAAGACAACTTCTTCAGGGTTAAAACAAAGCAATGTTTTTGAGGGGCGTGGAGGAGTTGGAGATGGGATTATCCCGCCAGAAATGGTGGAGAAGACGGCCTACTATGCAGTGAGACGCAAGCTGAAGAGCTTACTCCAGCAACATAGCAATGCAAAGTTTGTAGTAACAGGGCACAGCTTAGGTGGGGCACTTGCTATATTGTTCCCGACAGTGCTAGTTCTACATGAGGAGTTGGAGGTAATGAAGCGATTGCTGGGGGTTTACACGTTTGGACAACCAAGAATTGGGAATTTGCAGTTGGGGAAGTTTATGGAAGCTCATTTAGAACATCCAGTCCAAAAATACTTCAGGGTTGTCTACTGCAATGACCTTGTCCCCAGGCTGCCTTATGATGATAAAACTTTCTTGTATAAGCATTTTGGGGTCTGCCTTTATTATAACAGCTTCTACATTGAGCAAGTATGCTTCTATATCCACTTTCTCTTACTATCAGTTTATTGGTTTAGCTGCAGAAGAAGAATATTCACATGTTATTGTTAGATAATTCAGGCTTTAGGGCATTTTGTCACAACCTTGTGTGCTAAGATATCTTAGTAGCATCTTTTCTAATCTATTATTCATGTTTTTTTGATAGTGCTAATCTGAATTCTTTCTTTTTCTTTCTCCTATGACACATTCGAAGAAAATGGATGAGGAGCCAAACAGAAACTTCTTCGGATTAGGATACTGGGTTCCAGAGCATCTCAATGCTCTTTGGGAGTTGATCAGAAGTCTGTTGATTGGCTACACACAAGGACCAGATTATAAAGAGGGGCGGTTCTCCATACTCGCCAGGTTAATTGGACTGGTACTTCCCGGTATATCTGCACATTGTCCCACAGATTATGTCAACTCTGTTAGGCTTGGAAGGGAGAGTAGCATTCAGATGTCCTCATTCTAAGAAAGTTTTCTCTTGTCCAAATTAGTGTCGATGATGCACCAATTATGTCAAGGAGGATCGCTAGATTCCAATAAAAGGATAATGTATCATCTCTGTCCGATCAATTTGTTTGTGTTAGTATTTATGTTTCTGTTGTTGTGTAAACTGCTTTTGGTATCTGTTTGAGTATTGAATTGAGTATTCTGTCTGTTTCGTAGAACTTTAAGATTCTAAACATCAGTCATTAAAGTTCTGTAGGGATTTGTTTTGGTTTCTAACTGTTGCAATGCTCATACACTATGGAGATATATTTTATATCCCAGAAGGGTTATAATTTGAGATACCATTGTTTATGGTACAGAAATTCTTATAAAAATGAAAAATTCCCAACTTTCGAGTGCGGTTTGAATTATTGATTTAAGTAATTAGAAATAACTAATTAGGTTTACGACAAAATCTTGAAATCGATCACTAATTTAATTTGAGTATCTTTACAGGATAAATTTTAAGAAAAAATTGAAGAGTAACGGCAGCAATTGATTGAGTTCAATAGTTCTTCATATAAAATTATTGACTCTAAACATATAATAATATGTAGAAAACAAAATTGTTTCAAGCACCAGACAGAACCAGAAGAGCCTCTTGTTTCAAAAAGAGGAAGGTGGGTTATTCACATTTCATTTGATGGTCAGAGACGAATTGAAAGCTAAGCTATGGAAGTTCCAAAGATTTTCCGGGAGAAAAATAGAGATGTCTCCTACATTATCCATAATATGTGGATGTATCAATAAGTTACTCTCTGATTATTCCCTGGAACATATTCTTTTAATTTTCAGATATTCTTTCATATGTTTTGTAATGCATTCTTATAAAATCTATTACTATAAAGATGATGTACATGTCCCAAATCTCATGCATCTTACTATAGAGAAAACCTCAATGGGTGGGTTGCTTTATTATTGATTAGTCAAACTATTACATAAACAACTCTGTTGAATGAAAAAAATACAAAGCTTGAAAAGAAGTGTGCTCTTCCCTATCAAAAAACTGGCCCATTCTTGTAGAAAATGAGCAGCATGAATAATTTAATGAAGATAACTTACAAGCTTGGAGGAGCCCAAAGAATTGATAATGTATTGGCAACAGGCATTAACAGAATTCCTAATGATTCTTGGATAACAAATGTTTTTCTACGCAATTATTCTCCACGGCAATCACGTTGAGCAGTGGTCGCAAGGTTTGCTTTCCCTGGACAAAACCATTATAATGCAATGCTTTTGAGTTTAAACAGTGTGAGCAGTTTGGATCACATTCAAATCCAATTTTTTGAGCCTGACAACTGATTCTACATGTCCTCTCAAAGTGTGCATCTCTCCAAGCCTGCAATTGATAAGTACATTTCAAATTAATATCTATTTCTAAAATTCTTGAGCAATATAAAATATATATATACAATTTTTATCGTAACTACTAAGCCAGTGCTTCTATTTTTTAGGCTGGGGAAGGAGGAACTATGCTTTACAATCTATGTAGACAAACTCAAGGAAGAATAAGAAAGTAAGTTCTAGGGAATCAGTAAGCCAAATAACGAGAAATCTAAAGTACCTGGCTATTTCAGCACGCCGCAAAGCCTGTTCCGCAATCAAAGAACATCTTGATCGCCGTCCGTTCAACTCTTCTGCAGATATCAAGCCCCGCAGGCTTCTTTGAGAAAGAACCCACTGAGCTGCCCTATCTTCTTTCCCATAATCTTTCTTACAAGTGAAAGCAGTCTGTTCAAACATGACATGAACAGTACAAAGGAAGAAATTTGAGCCAATGCATCTGTACTGGTAAAGCTGAATAACAATTTTGAAAGAAAAACTGAAGCACAGAACACTCCTGCACCAACCTTTTTATCAAATAAGAGATTCCAGGCTTCTCCACTCAAGGCATAACTGACAGTGAACTTGATAATATCCAGGGGTATGTAGAAGATCAAACTATAACACCATATAACACCAGCCCATCCCCATCCGATACCACTAATATGAGCAAAACTAATATGTGCATAGACAGCTATTAAGGTTGCCACCTAGAGAATCAGAAGAACAAACACAATAAACCAGTTGGAACTTGGCACGATTTAGTTTTATTATTCTGAAATCAGACTTTGTGCGGATATGTAACATAGATGTAAGCCAATCAACATTCAATCGCTTGGTTACAAATGCAATTTTTAGGGTAAAATATATCACCCAATCATAAAACACAAAGCAAAACCCATAGTAGGAGCAATTTGCATAAATTTACCAACTGGGCGACCACAAATGCAGACATTAAGAGTGCTCCAGGCCTTTCAAGAAAGGACCAAGTTTGACTTCGTGTCACAAATATGAGAGCCTGGCTGATGATGCTGACTTGGAGATAGACTGCAGAGGATATTTCCTCATTGTTGTTGGATATAGACCTTACATGGAAGTGTCTCTGCAGTCATACGAAAAATCAATCACCATATATATATAGCTGCTGAACTCCAAAAAAATATTTTTGTGCAGTGGTTTAGAGAATATTAGCAAGCAGGATTGATTTGTTTTTTACCTCAAAGAAACCAGTATCAGTAACAATCCAGTAAAACAGGACAGTTATAAGAGCTAGATATGTTCCAATTACAATGCCAGTAGCAAATATCTCTTTCAGCTTCCAACTATCGGGTCTTGGAGATGGCTTTACTCTATCTTTAGAAATAGTCATGATTGTCCCTGATAAAAGAATTTATGGAAATAGATTGAAGTAGAAGCTTTATGTAAAATTTTTTCTTCTTGCAGATGGCTAAGCAACATTGTGTGAAATTTAGACTCTACTTTCTCATTCAAATCTCAATTTTTTTTTTGTCCATCAGAAAATTTGAAGAAAAAGATAGAGTAAAGAATGCACACCCAAGTTAGCAGATGATATTAACAAAGTCTAATTCATACTGAAGCTAAAATCTTTTTTTTTTGTTTGAAATAACGTAGTCAAGTTAAAATCGCAACACATTAGAAAATGACTCAAAAATTTTTGTAGCAAAATAAAATACTCTTGTCAGAATAAAAAGAGACAAAGTAGATATTCTCTAATATTTCAAAAAATTAGTAGATATTCCCTAAACCTATGCAGTCATTCAATGCGAATCAATTTTAAGAAGACGGTTAAACCTGTTGTTTCTCTTATTTCATTTCATAGTACTTAGTGCTGGAAATTGACCACTTTGCACACTGCAGTTGATTTTTTATTAACAAAACCAGCTACAATTTCCAGTAAAGTTAATTTTTTAAGCAGCTGAAATTTCTAGCAAATGCAAATGTTTTTTTTCTTTGGGTAAATGCAAAGTTTAGCAGGTTAGCCCCCTGTTCTTGAGGTTTTCCTCTTAATTTGGTCAGGAGAAGGCATTACATAAAGGAAAACTTACCATCATTAAGTATCGCGATTATCAGAATCATGAATGGTGGAAAGTCATATTTCCATATCAGTGCCAGAAGCATGAAACCCAGCTGCACAATATAAGTTTTCTATGTTACATGAAATCTGAAAGACAAAAATCACATCAAAGTTTTAAAGTAGATAAATTTGTGAAAATTAACATGATAGTTAAACATGTAAAAGAAGACCCTACTTACCACAATTCGAATGGTTATAGAAACAGCATATATCTGCATTTTTCATGGAAACTAATTAGTACTGTTATAAAACCAAAGAATATGGAAGGGAGCTACTAATTGTAAAGTACTATTAGGAATATGTATTTTATGAATTCTCTTATGTTCTTGCATTCTTATTCATCTTGACCATCAAGCAATAACAGCTCCGGAAATATCTGCAATTAATGAGTGAAAATATCTAGCTATTGTATTTTTGCTATTTAGGACTGCTAAGTTATCTTAAGACTGACCCAGAATAATGTACTTATGGAAATTGTTCCATGATATTATTAAAGGTGTGCAGATGGTGAACTTATCAGATATGTCCATCCCATATTGAGGTCAAGATTTCACCGTTCTTTACCATTTAGAATTCTATTATATGCATAACTCCATGGTTAATTTATGTAGGACAGAAGATTATTACATAACTGTATAAATTCTTCATTCTCTGGAATATAGCTCTGCTGGTCAAGACAGCACTGACAATCACACTTAGCCAGGCTCAGTTAGTACTATATCAGCAGCACCTCCTGCAGCATCTGTAGAATCTGCCACTGCTATTCCGATATCTGCTTTCTTCAAAGCAGGTGCATCATTCACACCATCTCCAGTCATTCCAACAACATGTTTCTTTTCTTGTAAAATTTTTACAATTTCATATTTGTGCTCTGAAAGTTTAACAGCAAGGATAAACTAACTCGTAAGAATATAAATGAAACATGTACATATTTATGGTTCGAGCAACAATCGACATTTTGGCCAGCAGCTATTTCTGTCAAATGTATCTTTTGGAGAAAAAAGTCTCGTAAGAATATAATTTGATCTGTGAATTTTGTATTATTTTATTTTTTTGAAAAATTGAATTTGGTTCTTTACAGTCTCTCATATTACCAGGAAATACGCCAGCAAATCCATCTGCCTTTTCAATAAGCTCGTCCGCTGGTAGAGCTTCATTCTCATCTTTGTCTCGGACTAACAATGATGAAGAAGGATACATGTTCGTTCCCATTCCTAGACGTCTACCAGTCTCTTTAGCAATTGACAACTGATCACCTACAATGGAGCAATACCAGAAGTTAATAGTTTCTTCTTCCAATTCTCTTTCAAAGACACCGAAGAGGTATGAGCAATCAAACAAACTGCTGGAGATGTGGCAATTGAAGTATATATAGGGAATGGCAATACAAAGGTCTATGTTCAAATCCTTGTTAAATATCCGAACTATATAATTTTAATTTATTTTTTATTAACAAAATATTCTACAGTTTTTCTGTATAAACCTGTGAGATTGATATGATGAAAACACAAATAATTGGATTACCTTAAAACACTATAAATATTAATATGATTTAATGCATGAAATGCATCAAACGCCCATTGTTTCTTTGTTTTGTACAAGGTTTTAGAATAGGAGAACTTAAATGTAGCCATGCTGTCAAATGCAACGAAGCCAACACAGTGATCAATCAATCAATAAAATTCCACTTGAAAAGAAATAAGATTAAAATTGTTATGAGAACAAGATATCTAACAAATGTTATCGATTAACTTTGAGAATATAGTTGTGAGATCATCAGAAGCTAACATATACACCTGTTATCATCTTCACACAAACTCCAAGATTAAGTGCTCTGCGGATAGTTTCAGCACTATCATGCCTTGGAGGGTCAAACAATGGCAACAACCCACAAAAAATCCAAGGACCTCCAGGACTATCCTTGTTTTTTTCAGGAACTTCCTGAAACAATTAGATAGGTAGCATTGAATGAAGTTGATGAATGTGCAAGTAAAAGACAGTGACCTAGAAGAGAATTAAGAGCCTAAATAATAACAATGCTACCTATCTAATTGACAACTATCACTAAACAACCACTTATTCTGAAATTATATTCTCTTCGGCCCAAAAGAACCTCAAAAAGACCGAAGAAATCAGTAAGAAGAAACATTAGATTACCAAAACGATATACCTGATAAGCAACTGCTAGAGATCGCAAGCCCCTTTCAGCAAATTTATCTATGATATAGTGCACTTTTCCAGCAATTTTATCTTTCTCTTGGGACATATCTAGAATCTGATATCCAGGAAAATTAATAAGTGCCAAGAAGATGAATGCTGTATCACAAATTGCTCAATGGTGAGCAGATTTCATATAACTTAATCATATGCAAATAATTCGTGATTTGTTTTTTAATACACAACATTTTAATAATGTATATTATCCTCAATTTTTTCTTCAATGAAAAGAATTAGAAGCAATGAACTTGACATGCTTTTGCAACTGCTAGCCGCATGATAAAAGAATAAGAAGAAGGAAGAACGATAAGCATAAGCTGAATAGAAAAAACCTAAGCCTGCAGTCATAGAACTCGGTGTAGTTCAGAATGCTTGAGCAGAAGCTCAACTAGCAAGAGCCATGTAAAACATGTATGGAAGGTATCAAATGTGATGGATTGTTTTGACTTATCCCTTCCTGATAGCTGATTTGTCTTTAGTTCATTTTGCCATAAGAGATTTCAACAATTTAAGGGGCAACATCTCAGGTCCAAGCATTATTGACACTTGACAGAGCAACATTTCTGATCATATTACTGACTTCAGCAAATTACATTCATGTAGTTGATTTGATTAAAACCCTTTATATAGATTTCAAGCCACATTCTAGCTCGTGTGGGATAAGGCATCATATAAGAAAGAGTTTGATAAGAATCAACTTCCAACTGATGTAGAAGTTTAGATTTTATGCCTTGGTACCTGCTCAGGAGCTCCTTTACTGGCCCGGTACCAATTACCGTCAAAATCAATATATGTTATTGCAGTACGTTTCTCAACTGGATTGAAGGGTAAAAAGTGAACTTCCTTGATATTTGCACGTGCCTGAAGACAAAAAGATATCAGTTTTTGTGCATAAGCATTCAATCACAAAAGTAGAATGAATCAAAGAAATCTGACTGTTCAAGTAAAATATTTCACATCTCTACCTCTTTTGGATCAGCAAGCATATTAATGATGGCTGCATCAATAGCATCCTGATT